CTCCTTCTCTCTCTTAATCTTGCCCCCCTCTCTCTCCCCCTCTCTCTCTCAATCTCTCTCTCTCTCTCTCCTATCTCTACCTCTCCCTCTCCTATCTCTACCTCTCCCTCTCTCTCTCTCCTATCTCTCCCTCTCCCTCTCTATCCCTCTCTCTCTCTCCCTCCCTCCCTCTTGCTCTCTCTTGCTCACTCTCTCTCTCCCTTGCTCTCTCGCTCTCTCGCACTCTCGCTCTCTCTCTTGCTCGCCCTTTCTCTCTCCCTCTCTCTCTCAATCTCTCTCTCACTCTCTCTCTCACTCTCTCAATCTCTCTCTCTCCCTCTCCCTCTCTCTCTCTCTTTCCCTCTCTCTCCCTCTCTTCCTCTCTTTCTCTCACTCTCTCTCTTTCTCTCTCTCTCTGTCTCTCCCTCTCTCTCTCCCTCTCTCTAGCCCTCTCTCTTTCTTGTTCTCTCTCTCTCTCTCTCTCCCTCTCTCTCTTGCTCTCTCGCTCTCTCTCTCAATCTCACTCTCTTCTCTCTCTCTCTCTCTCCCTCACTTCTTGCTCTCTCTCTCTATCTCTCTCTCTCCCTCTCTCTCTCTCTCACTCTTCTTACTCTCTCCCTCTCTCTCTCTCTTCTTACTCTCTCTCTCTCCCTCCCTCTCTCTCTCACTCTCTCTCTCTCTCTCGCGCTAGCCCTCTTATTCTCTCTTGCTCTCTCTCTGTCTCTTTCCCTCTCTTGCTTCCTCTTTCTCTCTCTCTCTCCCTCACTCTCTCTCTCTCACTCTCTCTCCCTTGCTCTCTCTATCTCTCTCTCTCTCTCTCCCTCTCCCTTGCTCTCTCTCTCTTGCTCTCTCTCTCCTTCTCTCTCTCTCTTGCTCTCTCTCTCCCCCTCTCTCTCTCTCTCCCCTCTCTCTCCCTCTCTCTCTCTCTCTCAATCTCTTCCTTCTCTATCCTCTCCTCTCCCTCTCCCCCTCTCCTCTCTCAACTCTCTCTCTCTCCCTCTCTCTCTTGCTCTCTCTCTCTCTCTCCCTCTCTCTCTCTCTCTCTCCCTCTCCCTCTCCCTCTCTCTCTCTCTCTCTCTCTCTCTCTCTCTCTCTCTCTCTCTTTCTCTTACTCTCCCTCTCTCTCTCACTCTCTATCTCCATCTCTAGCTTTCTCTCTCTCTTGTTCTCTCTCTCTCGCTCTCTCACTCTCTGTCTCTCTCTCAATCTCTCTCTCTCTCAATCACTCTCTCCTCTCTCTTTCTCTCTCTTCTTCCTCTCTCTCTCTCGCTCTCTCTTACTATCTCTCTCTCTCTATCTCTCTCTCTCTTGCTCTCCTAGCCCTCTTGTTCTCTCTTGCTCTTTCTTTCTCAATCTATCTCTCTCTCTCTCTCTCTCTCTCTCTCCATCTCTCTTGCTCTCTCTCTCAATCTCTCTCTCTTACTCTCTCTCTCCCTCTCTCTATCTCCTCTTGCTCTCTCTTTCTCTCTCCATCTCTCTCTCTATCTTCTTGATCTCTATCTCTTTCTCTCTCTCAATCGCTCTCTCTCTCTCTCGCTTCCTCTCTTTCTCTCGCTCCCTCTCTCTCGCTCCCTCTCTCTCCCTCTCTCTTTCTCTCGCTCCCTCTCTCTCGCTCCCTCTCTCTCCCTCTCTCTTTCTCTCTCACTCTTCTTGCTCTCTCTCTCTCTCGCTCTTTTTTGCTCTCCCTCTCTCTCTCTATCTCTCTCTCTCACTCTCTCTAGCCCTCTTGTACTCTCTTGCTCTCTCTCTCTCTCTCTCTCCCTCTCACTCTCTCTCCCTCTCTTGCTCTCTCTCTCTCTCAATCTCTCTCTCTCCCTCTCTCTCTAGCTCTCTCTCTCTCTTGTTCTCTCTCTATCTCTATCTCTCTCCCTCTCTGGTGCTCTCTCTATCTCTCTCCTTGTCTCTATCCCTCTCTCTCTCTCAATCTCTCTCTCTCTCTCTCAATCTCTCTCTCTCCCTCTCTCAATCTCTCTCTCTCCTATCTCTCCCTCTACCTCTCTATCTCTCCCTCTCTCTCCCTCTCTCTCTTACTCTCTCTCTCTCTTGGTCTCTCTCTCTCACTCACTCTCTTGCTCTCTCTCTCACTCTCTCTCTCTCCCCCTCTCTCTCTCTCTTACTCTCCTCTCTCTCTCCCTCTCTCTAGCCTTCTCTCTCTTGTTCTCTCTCCCTCTCTCTCTCTCCCTCTCTTATTGCTGGCAAGGCTTTGGCGGAACTAACTGTTGGTATTAGGGGTGGATCCGGCAGATTGGTGGGGGCTGGGCCGCATATGGAGCTGGATGGCCTGGATCTGACCCCTCAGGTGACCGATGATCATGGGGACAGAATGGAGACTATGGGGAGCAATGAGGTGGTGGAATTTTTGAAGGAGGTACAGGGCAACATTGGGGTGACTCCGTTGGTTGATGCTGCAAGTCTCCCGACTGTGGAGGTTAAGGAAAGGGAAGATGAGGCACCGAACAGTAAGGTGGTTGAGTTGGAAAGGCCACGATTCCAATTTGGTGGTATGAGTCGAATTCAAAATTTGGGTAGATCACCGGTGGCGGTAGATTCTTCACGAGTTTTGCAGTGTAATGATTCTACTGTTACGGATTGCGCATTGCGTAATATCAGTAATCCCGCTGATATGTTAGTTGATAGGGGTGAACCTCCTAAAACTGTTGGTGGTGAGACTTCTGGGATAAAATCCTGCCCCCCAGGTGTTCGAAGAAATGCCAATACTGGAATTCTGGGGTCGAAACAGGAAGCGGCCATGGGGAATGCTTCGGCTGGTTCGGTCTTGGTGCAAGGCCGAATCAGAATGCTTGGAGGAAGCCTGAGCCGGTAGCTCTAAGGTTGGAGGTGGACGCCTCAACTATTTTAGGGGCGGATGGGATGATTTCGTTGAACTTGGACAAAGCTAGAGGTAATGTCCAAAAGCTTGAGCATGCCCTGGTGGGGTGCCTCCTTGGACGGAGGGTGCCATTCTGGGTGGTACAAAGTGAACTTCAAAAGAAATGGGGGCATTTGGGCCTCACGCGTATTACGCCGATGGGGGCAGACTGCTTTTTATGCTGGTTTGAGGATGCCAGTGCACAGGACAAGGTGATGATTGGGGGCCCTTGGTTCGTGGCAGGCCAAATTATTGGCGTGGAGCAATGGGCGGTTGGCTCAATGTCGAATTCGCCAAGGAAGTTCACTTCTCCGGTCTGGATACGGCTTCCCAATCTGCCATTGGCCTACTGGGATGCCGAAAACTTGGCCCGGCTTGCCACTGGGATTGGGGAACCTCTTTTCATGGACGAACCAACTAACTCATGGAATAGATGCGCCTTCGTACGTATCTGCGTTCGGTTGGATTTATCGAAGAAGTTACCCAAGGGAGTGTAGGCTCATGGGCTGGGAGGCTCGTTCTTCCAACTTATTGAGTATGAGGGTATTCCGCTGATTTGTTTAAACTGTGGGAAGGTTGGTCATAAGGCGGAGGTTTGCAAAGAATTCAGAGATATGGGTAAGGTTCAACCACCACCATCTACTACGACGGGGTCTGTTCCTTCTGGGCCAAATAAGGATATGGAGGTGGATCGTGTTGAGCTTGGCGAAACAAGCTTAATGGCGGCTTGGTGGAACGATCACCTGGTTTGGCGAATGTTGAGCAGGGTGAGTGGACTATTGTTAGTAGAAGAAGGAGACCCAAGCCAGCAAAGGTCGGTGGGAATTTGGCGGAACAGAGGAGTGCCCAGCCCGGATCGGCAAGTAGAAATTCCAATAATCTGGCCTGGAAGGCTATTGGCAAGGGGGATGTACATTTGGGGACTGGTGGGGGAACCGATTCAGGTAGTGTAAATATGACTAAGAATGTAAGGAATGCTGGAGGTATAGATCAGGGTCCGAGTATCATAGAGAAGGAACCTGTTCCAGTTGGGGGGAACAGCGGTTCATTTGAGCGAATGGTTACCTCGCCTATGAAGGACAATAATTTCAATGAACCTACCACTGATCTCGAGACCCCTGGGGTGCCTCTACAGGCTGGGACGGACATCCCGCATGCTTGCTCTCTGGACGATATGGTGACGGAGAGTGTGGGGGTTATCCCCCACACGGCTCCCCTTCCGGACAAGACTGTTGACAGCGGCGAATCTAGGATGGTGGAGAATTACTCGATGATTGAGTCTACACAATTGCACGGTACACGGCGGAGGAAACGTGGAGAGACTGTGGATTCCCCTGCTCAGAAATTGACCCCAAGGGTGTTGCGTTTCTCTGGAACGAAGTCTGATGTTTATAAGGTGAAGAACGCTAACACTAGAGGTGCTAAAGAAAGACGGGTGAAAGAATTGGGGTGCATTGGTCCCCTTCAGAAGCTGCCTGGTGTTCGTAGGAACAGGAACTCACGGGAGGGTGGTAATCCGGTACAATCTGAGCTCAACATGACTATCACGGATTGCTCTACAGGTGGCCGAATGGATAAGGAGTTCACGGATCAATGGAAGGAGATCTTCTCGGATGTTTTTTGCGGCGGGGACGCTTCCCCTTTGGTGAATAATGTTTAACATCCTTTGTTGGAATTGCAGAGGTGCGCGTAAGAAGGAGACCGGGAACTTCTTGCGGCACCTAATTGGGGAGCATAACATCAACATCATTGGTCTTGTTGAGACCAAAATGGAAACCTTCTCTCGTGCGGATGTGGACAAGCTTGCGGAGAGACACTGGACTTTTGTTTTCAGCCTTCAGTGGGCAGGGCTGGGGGCATTCTTGTTCTTTGGCTTGGGTCGATTGGCACCTTTTCTGTCACCTTTCAAACAAACCAGTGTATTATGGGGAGGTTTAGGTGGACGGGCACTCCGTCTTGGGAGATTGCGGTTGTGTACGGGGACAAGGACAGATACACTAGGCAACGGATATGGGAAGACATCTCGCATCATCACGTTGCTAACGCCCCCTTGGTGGTGGGGAGGGGATTTTAATTGCATTATGGCACAGTGTGAGAAGAAGGGGGGAGATCCTTTGTCTTCAATCCTGCGGCTGGTGACATGGGGGATTTCATGAATGCAAACGGCTTGGTGGACCCTGGTTTCTCGGGGACTGCTTTCACCTGGACTAATAACAAGGATGCCGGAAGTCGGATTTACTCGCGTCTAGACCGGTTTTTGATCAGCTCATCCATCCTGGATGAATTTCAGGGACTGAAGGTTAAGCATCTCTCTCGGCTTACTTCTGACCATTGTCCCATTCTCTGCTCTGTTCAGGCGGGCGCGAAGAGGAATTATTCCTCTTGGATCTGGTTTGAGGATGTTTGGGCCAGCTTTCCGAAGGCGTGGCAATTGGTTTCGGAGAAGTGGAAGGTACAGGATTCTAGCTCGGAAGCGAAGATCCTGCAGAGAAAGTGCCAGAGAACTTTGAAGGCGTTATTCTTTTGGAGTAGAAACAAAATCAAAATGTTGAACCAGCTAAAGGATGATCTTGACCGTGAGATAAGCACTATGCAGGAAATTGATTGCTATCCGTCTGGCCTCTCGGAGGCTCAATCTGAATCTCTCAGGTATAAAGTCCAACTGTTGAAGGCTACCCTGACCAGGTTAACGACTTGGTGGGGGCAACGTGCGAAGGTTCGGTGGATTGAAGAGGGAGATGGGAACACACGGTTTTTTCACAACATGGCGTCGGCGAGAAGAAGAACCAATCTCATTGATCAGCTCAAGCACCCGGACGGGAGGTTGGTTACGATCAGTCTGAGATTATTAGAATGGTGGAGGATTTTTTCCAGAGCAAATGGGAGCATACCGAGATTGTTGACTACGGGTGGCCCTCTCTTGATCTGCACTTCGCCAATATGCAGCGGCTGGGTATATCTCTGGACTGTGAGATCACCCGTGAGGAAATTTGGCTTGCGGTGAAGTCGATGGGCAAGAATCGCGCCCCTGGACGTGATGGGGTGATAGCATCCTTCTTTAAATCGTTCTGGGATATTGTTGGTGAGCAGGTCACCTTGGCGTGCCTGGAGTTCTTCTCTTCGGGACGGATGGAGCCTGAATGGAAGGATACGGTGGTGGTTCTATTGCCTAAGGGTAATAATGCGGATCATCCTTCTAAATTTAGACCGATCAGTCTCTGTCAAACCATATATAAAGTCATTGCTAAGATTTTAGTCAACCGCCTCAAAGGAATACTGTCGTCCATTGTATCTGAGGAACAAGCAGCATTTGTGCTGGGGAGATCAATCTCTGATCACTGCCTTTTGGGGCAGGAAATTATGAACATGTTCAAGGTCTCCAAGTCTGCCAAAGGATGGTTGGCCTTAAAGGTCGATATGGAACAAGCCTACGACAAAATGA